GGAACGCCGCTTACCTTTCTCCCCCCCCCCCCTCCCCCTCACGTCAACGGGTCGTAATCTCGCCGTGTTTGCGCGAAAAAGAAAATATCATCCTTGTTAATTATTTTTAACAGTGGCGGGCGACGGGGGCGACCGCCTGCCAAGGAAAAGGGCGCCATTATCATGATCATCTCTTCTATCAATGGAATAATTAACGGTGCCAATGACACGCCGCTCGCATGTTGTCACCCGAACGCACCCAAAATCCAGACTGGGACCAGCTGCGGATTCCGGAGGGTTCCTGTCGAGCCGAACATTGGGCTTCCATGGTGAAACAAAGTGTATGGGAGCTTAAAGAGGACCGGTCATAACTTATCCTGCGTCTGAAATGATGAGGAATTACCTGTGAGACTTCGATGAGAACTCTGTCTGAGCCCGAAAGTTCCGTTTAGGATACATGATGAAAGCTCCCATCCCCTACAACGTGCTTTGGGGGTTACAAGGCCCCCCAAAAGGAGGATGGAGGACCCTCGGAATCACGTTGGTCAATTTTTTCCATTGCGTTATATTATTACAAAGATATTTTAGATAAGAGGCGATGAGAATGGCCGATGACATCATACAGCGCTGGCGGTGATTGCCGAAAGCTGAAGCAGAATAAGGTCAAAGTTTCCTCGCCGTCACCGTTCTGTGTAAATCAGCCGGAAATGTCGCGGTGGGCGTCGTTCCGGTGCTAAGTATGTAGCGTGAACTTGTCAATCCGTTCTCAGCCGTGACACATGCAGGGGACATGAGATGTCAGATATTCCCAACATTCATCTGTCTTCTGTTCCATATCCATATATGCGCAGCGCGGCCTGTAAGCACAAGAGTACAATATACAGCCATTCATATCAGTCACCGCACCAGAGGAGCTCACACTCTAATGTCAGTCACACATTATTATTATACATGTATATAGCTCTGACATATTCTATAGTGCTGTACAGAGAACACTACTCCAGTCACACCAGTCTCTGTACAGAGGAGCTTACACTCTAATGTCCCCTCCCCCCCACAGTCACATCAGTCTCTGTACAGAGGAGCTTACACTCTAATGTCCCCTCCCCCCCACAGTCACATCGGTCTCTGTACAGAGGAGCTTACACTCTAATGTCCCCTCCCCAGCTGAAACCTGGACACATGATATCAGGCAGACAGGGGCAACTAAAATTAAGATAGGGGCTACTGGCCCCCCACTAAAAATAGTCTCTACTGAGATGTGTTTACATATGAATGGGTGATGCTATGTACATATGAATAAGCCACGCATCGCTAGAGTGTTCGGGTTTCGCTGGAAGAAAAGGCGGAAGAAACGGTGGCACCATAACCCATAGTCCCTTATCCGTGACCCTCAGCCGCCATGATTGGATTGTTATTATGATGAGGGGCCCTCTTCTACTGGGCCCCGGAGGGCGGACATCTCTCATATTACATTGGAAGAGTTACCTGATGAATCCTTTCATGCTCCAGAAACGTTCAATCCAGGCAGAGCAGCTTTGAACAGGTCGAATTTCCTGCTGATGTACACGTTATTCCCAGGGCCAGACGGGGCCCCGGGGGCCTCCTCAGCTGTCTAATGGGCTCTGACAGTCAATGGAAAGCGCTTTGATAGGCCGCTTTGTTCCTCGTCTTGTTTGTATAACTTTCCGTCTTCCTGAAACAACATGAATAATTCCGCCGGCTTTGCTGGTACGAGCGCGGAGAAGAGCGTTCCGAGGCGCCCTTAATCAGCGAGCCGGACACCTTCCTGCAGACACAGGCGATGTTAAAGGAATTGGCGACATTTGGCGCCCACGTACGGCGGTGCTCGGGCCGGCTGCCCAGTCAGTTAGATGCCATTTTTTTAAATATCCATCCAGCGTAATTTCTGCAGCCAACAAAATCTCCTAATGAGAAGAACGTCCGAAGATGGCTGCAGATCAGACCGCGGTCCCTCGCGTCCACGCGTTCCACCGCAAACATTCGGATATATGAAGTGGAAGACGTTTGCAGAGGGCGGCGCTGACGCAATTGTCTGACCTAAAACAAGTATATGAAAAAGTCCAACCGGGTGGATCCATCGTCCACCTGAAGTGATTGGCTGAGGTTGCTCAGTGTTCTCTGTACAGCGCTGCAGTATATGTCAGAGCTATATACATGTATAATAATAGTGTGTGACTCTGGGGGGACATTAGAGTGTAAGCTCCTCTGTACAGGGACTGATGTGACTGTGGGGGAGGGGGGACATTAGAGTGTAAGCTCCTCTGTACAGAGACTGATGTGACTGTGTGGGGGGGGGACATTGGAGTGTAAGCTCCTCTGTACAGAGACTGATGTGACTGTGGGGGGGGCATTAGAGTGTAAGCTCCTCTGTACAGAGACTGATATGACTGGCTCACTGTTCTCTGTACAGCACGGCGGTATATGTCAGAGCTATGTAAATGTATAATAATAGTGTGTGACTGTGGGGGAGGGGACATTAGAGTGTAAGCTCCTCTGTACAGAGACTAATGTGACTGTGAGGGGAGGGGACATTAGAGTGTAAGCTCCTCTGTACAGAGATTGATGTGGCTGTGGGGGAGGGGACATTAGAGTGTAAGCTCCTCTGTACAGAGACTGATGGGGCTGGCTCACTGTTCTCTGTACAGCACGGCGGTATATGTCAGAGCTATGTAAATGTATAATAATAGTGTGTGACTGTGGGGGAGGGGGGGCATTAGAGTGTAAGCTCCTCTGGTGCACATGTGGCCGGCTCAGTGTTCTTTGAAGAATATTCAGGACTGCGCATGATTTTAATTGCAGAGGATAATATTAAATGACACAAAAGTGCTGCTGGAATCAGACTGGAAATTAAACCGGATGAGATGACATATGAGAATATCATGGGGTGTAACCCGTGTTTAACCTTTTCAGTGCTGGCGCCTCTTCTAAGTGATTATTATGGTGGCCATAGACAGCTGTAAATGCCGCCGTCTGGCTGGATGCAAATCCAATAAAAGTTATTTTATTATATGTTTGCCTATAAATTGTGCTAAAGGGGGAGAGGAGGGGCGTAGTCACATAGCTGTGGGGGAAGCACAAGTCCCAGCAGACCTTTTGCCAGCATTTATCCTGTTACCACCTGTGACGACATGGTGATCAGTTTATGTGTATTGGTATTGAGTTATGTTTGAGTGCGTTATGCTGTGTGACCTGGTTATGGAAAGACTATCAGCACCATCCCTCGTTATCTCCTATTGTACTCTGAGGGAGCTCAGAACAATGACATTCTGGCCAGGCTCCTGCTATGGCTGTCTGGAGTTCGTTAGCAGGTGGACACCTGTGGTGTTGAGCAGACCGATGGTCTGGGAGGGGAGGTGGATGTGATGGGATTATATTCTGATTTCATCACTTGCTGTATAAAAGTTTGTGCAGTTGTTCAATAAAGCAGAGTTTGTTTCACCTACACTCAAGCCTTGGCTAGTGACCGGGGAAACTGGGAGCTAAGGATCTTCAGGTTCCAATATCTCCTCAGCAAGGAAGAAGACAGCGGCGGACATACTCATCCTGAGTACGGGGGTCCGTCACACCACCTTCCCGGGGGGGCTGGTTAGATACCCAGTGATTGGCACCCACCATCCGGTGACATTTATCTCTATGAGGTTGTAGCAGGTTCA